TTACGAAATATGAACTTATAATAAGTAATATTTGACTTATGATATTCGATTGATGAAAAATTATATTATCTGTCGGAAAACATGATATCAGTGCAAGATTCGATCGACCGCTGGTCTCGAGGATGAGTTTGTCAAATCAAGAATCGTAGCTCGACTCACGCTGAGCTTAGGGCTGATCTCGTCGCATGCAATCAATGAAAGTTCACTTCATTTCTCAAAAAACATGAAAGCAGCACAAGATCGACTCGACCTCTGACCTCGAGGATGAGTTTATCAGATCCAGGGTCGTAGCTCGTTTCGGGCTGAGCTTAAAACTGAGCTAGTGGCCTGCGATCAATGAAAGTTTTCACATTTCCTCGAAAAAGATGAAAGCAGCCGAAGATCGACTCGACCGCTGGTCTCGAGGATGAGTTTGTCAGATCCAGGGTCGTAGCTCGTTTCGGGCTGAGCTTAAGGCTGAGCTGGTGGCCTGCGATCAATACAAGTTTACTTTATTTCTCAAAAAACACGAAAGCAGCACAAGATCGACGCGACCTCTGACCTCGAGGATGAGTTTGTCAGCCCCAGGGCCGTAGCTCGTTTCGCGCTGAGCTTAAAACTGAGCTGGTGGCTTGCGATCAATGAAAGTTTTCACATTTCCTCGAAAAACATGAAAGCAGCCGGAGATCGACTCGACCGCTGGTCTCGAGGATGAGTTTGTCAGATCCAGGGTCGTAGCTCGTTTTGGGCTGAGCTTGAGGCTAAGCTAGTGGCCTGCGATCAATGAAAGTTTTCACATTTCCTCGAAAAAGATGAAAGCAGCCGAAGATCGACTCGACCGCTTGTCTCGAGGATGAGTTTGTCAGCCCCAGGATCGTAGCTCGACTCTTACTGAGCTTAGTGCTAAGCTGGTGGCCTGCGTTCAATAAAAGTTCCCATCATTCCTCAAAAAACATAAAAGCAGCACAAGATCGACTCGACCGCTGGCCTCGAGGATGAGTTTGTCAGCCCCAGGGCCGTAGCTCGTTTCGCGCTAAGCTTAAAACTGAGCTGGTGGCCTGCGATCAATACAAGTTTACTTCATTTCTCAAAAAACATGAAAGCCGCACAAGATCGACTCTACCGCTGACCTCGAGGAAGAGTTTGTCTGCCCCAAGATTGCAGCTCGACTCTCGCTGAGCTTAAGGCTAAGCTGGTGGCCTGCGATCAATACAAGATTACTTCATTTCTCAAAAAACATGAAAGCCGCACAAGATCGACTCTACCGCTGACCTCGAGGAAGAGTTTGTCAGCCCGAAGATCGCAGCACGACTCTCGCTGAGCTTAGTGCTGAGCTGGTGGCCTGCTATTGGTGAAAGTTCCAATCATTCCTCAAAAAACATAAAAGCAGCACAAGATCGACTCGACCGCTGGCCTCGAGGATGAGTTTGTCAGCCCCAGGGCCGTAGCTCGTTTCGCGCTGAGCTTAAAACTGAGCTGGTGGCCTGCGATCAATGAAAGTTTTCACATTTCCTCGAAAAACATGAAAGCAGCCGAAGATCGACTCGACCGCTGACCTCGAGGAAGAGTTTGTCAGCCCCAGGGCCGTAGCTCGTTTCGCGCTGAGCTTAAAACTGAGCTGGTGGCCTGCGATCAATGTAAGTTTTCACATTTCCTCGAAAAACATGAAAGCAGCACAAGATCGACTCGACCGCTGGTCTCGAGGATGAGTTTGTCAGATCCAGGTTCTTAGCTCGCTTCGCGCTGAGCTTAAGGCTAAGCTAGTGGCCTGCGATCAATACAAGTTTACTTCATTTTTCAAAAAACACGAAAGCAGCACAAGATCGACTCTACCGCTGACCTCGAGGATGAGTTTGTCAGATCCAGGGTCGTAGCTCGTTTCGGGCTTAGCTTAAAACTGAGCTGGTTGCCTGCAATCAATGAAAGTTTTCACATTTCCTCGAAAAACATGAAAGCAGCCGAAGATCGACTCGACCGCTGGTCTCGAGGATGAGTTTGTCAGATCCAGGGTCGTAGCTCGTTTCGGGCTGAGCTTAAGGCTAAGCTGGTGGCCTGCGATCAATGAAAGTTTTCACATTTCCTCGAAAAAGATGAAAGCAGCCGAAGATCGACTCGACCGCTGGTCTCGAGGATGAGTTTGTCAGCCCCACGATCGTAGCTCGACTCTTACTAAGCTTAGTGCTAAGCTTGTGGCCTGCGATCAATAAAAGTTTACTTCATTTCTCAAAAAACATGAAAGCGGCACAAGATCGACTCGACCTCTGACCTCGAGGATGAGTTTGTCAGATCCAGAGTCGTAGCTTGTTTCGGGCTAAGCTTAAGGCTGAGCTGGTGGCCTGCGATCAATACAAGTTTACTTTATTTCTCAAAAAACATGAAATCCGCACAAAATTCACTCTACCGCTGACCTCGAGGAAGAGTTTGTCAGCCCGAAGATCGCAGCTCGACTCTCGCTGAGCTTAGTGCTGAGCTGGTGGCCTGCGATTGGTGAAAGTTCCAATCATTCCTCAAAAAACATAAAAGCAGCACAAGATCGACTCGACCGCTGGCCTCGAGGATAAGTTTGTCAGCCCCAGGGCTGTAGCTCGTTTCGCGCTGAGCTTAAAACTGAGCTGGTGGCCTGCGATCAATGAAAGTTCACTTCATTCCTCAAAAAACATAAAAGCAGCACAAGATCGACTCTACCGCTGACCTCGAGGAAGAGTTTGTCAGCCCGAAGATCGCAGCTCGACTCTCGCTGAGCTTAGTGCTGAGCTGGTGGCCTGCTATTGGTGAAAGTTCCAATCATTCCTCAAAAAACATAAAAGCAGCACAAGATCGACTCGACCGCTGGCCTCGAGGATGAGTTTGTCAGCCCCAGGGCCGTAGCTCGTTTCGCGCTGAGCTTAAAACTGAGCTGGTGGCCTGCGATCAATGAAAGTTTTCACATTTCCTCGAAAAACATGAAAGCAGCCGAAGATCGACTCGACCGCTGGCCTCGAGGATGAGTTTGTCAGCCCCAGGGCCGTAGCTCGTTTCGCGCTGAGCTTAAAACTGAGCTGGTGGCCTGCGATCAATACAAGTTTACTTCATTTCTCAAAAAACATGAAAGCCGCACAAGATCGACTCTACTGCTGACCTCGAGAAAGAGTTTGTCAGATCCAGGTTTTAAGCTCGCTTCACGCTGAGCTTAAGGCTAAGCTGGTGGCCTGCGATCAATACAAGTTTACTTCATTTCTCAAAAAACATGAAAGCCGCACAAGATCGACTCGACCGCTGGTCTCGAGGAAGAGTTTGTCAGCCCGAAGATCGCAGCTCGACTCTCGCTGAGCTTAGTGCTGAGCTGGTGGCCTGCTATTGATGAAAGTTCCAATCATTCCTCAAAAAACATAAAAGCAGCACAAGATCGACTCGACCTCTGGTCTCGAGGATGAGTTTGTCAGCCCCAAGGCCGTAGCTCGTTTCGCGCTGAGCTTAAAACTGAGCTGGTGGCCTGCGATCAATGAAAGTTCACTTCATTCCTCAAAAAACATAAAAGCAGCACAAGATCAACTCGACCGCTGACCTCGAGGAAGAGTTTGTCAGCCCCAGGGCCGTAGCTCGTTTCGCGCTGAGCTTAAAACTGAGCTGGTGGCCTGCGATCAATGAAAGTTTTCACATTTCCTCGAAAAACATGAAAGCAGCCGAAGATCGACTCGACCGCTTGTCTCGAGGATGAGTTTGTCAGCCCCAGGATCGTAGCTCGACTCTTACTGAGCTTAGTGCTAAGCTGGTGGCCTGCGATCAATAAAAGTTTACTTCATTTCTCAAAAAACATGAAAGCCGCACAAGATCGACTCTACCGCTGACCTCGAGGAAGAGTTTGTTAGCCCCAAGATCGCAGCTCGACTCTCGCTGAGCTTATGGCTGAGCTGGTGGCCTGCGATTGATGAAAGTTCCCATCATTCCTCAAAAAACATAAAAGCAGCACAAGATCGACTCGATCGCTGGCCTCGAGGATGAGTTTGTCAGCCCCAGAGCCGTAGCTCGTTTCGCGCTGAGCTTAAAACTGAGCTGGTGGCCTGCGATGAATGAAAGTTCACTTCATTCCTCAAAAAACATAAAAGCAGCACAAGATCGACTCGACCGCTGACCTCGAGGAAGAGTTTGTCAGCCCCAGGGCCGTAGCTCGTTTCGCGCTGACCTTAAAACTGAGCTGGTGGCCTGCGATCAATACAAGTTTACTTCATTTCTCAAAAAACATGAAAGCCGCACAAGATCGACTCTACCGCTGACCTCGAGGAAGGGTTTGTCAGCCCGAAGATCGCAGCTCGACTCTCGCTGAGCTTAGTGCTGAGATGGTGGCCTGCGATCAATAAAAGTTTACTTCATTTCTCAAAAAACATGAAAGCAGCACAAGATCGACTCGACCTCTGACCTGGAGGATGAGTTTGTCAGATCCAGGGTCGTAGCTCGTTTCGGGCTGAGCTTAAGGCTGAGCTGGTGGCCTGCGATCAATACAAGTTTACTTTATTTCTCAAAAAACACGAAAGCAGCACACGATCGACGCGACCTCTGACCTCGAGGAAGAGTTTGTCAGCCCCAAGATCGCAGCTCGACTCTCGCTGAGCTTAGTGCTGAGCTGGTGGCCTGCGATTGGTGAAAGTTAAAATCATTCCTCAAAAAACATAAAAGCAGCACAAGATCGACTCGAGCGCTGGTCTCGAGGATGAGTTTGTAAGCCCCAGGGCCGTAGCTCGTTTCGCGCTGAGCTTAAAACTGAGCTGGTGGCCTGCGATAAATGAAAGTTTTCACATTCCCTCGAAAAACATGAAAGCAGCCGAAGATCGACTCGACCGCTGGTCTCGAGGATGAGTTTGTCAGATCCAGGGTCGTAGCTCGTTTCGGGCTGAGCTTAAGGCTGAGCTGGTGGCCTGCGATCAATACAAGTTTACTTTATTTCTCAAAAAACACCAAAGCAGCACAAGATCGACTCGACCTCTGACCTCGAGGATGAGTTTGTCAGATCCAGGGTCGTAGCTCGTTTTGCGCTGAGCTTAGTGCTAAGCTGGTGGCCTGCGATCAATAAAAGTTTACTTCATTTCTCAAAAAACATGAAAGCAGCACAAGATCGACTCGACCTCTGACCTGGAGGATGAGTTTGTCAGATCCAGGGTCGTAGCTCGTTTCGCGCTGAGCTTAGTGCTAAGCTGGTGGCCTGCGATCAATAAAAGTTTACTTTATTTCTCAAAAAACATGAAGGCAGCACAAGATCGACTCGACCGCTGACCTCGAGGATGAGTTTGTCAGATCCAGGGTCGTAGCTCGACTCTCGCTGAGCCCAAAACTGAGCTGGTGGCTGGCGATCAATGAAAGTTTTTACATTCCCTCGAAAAACATGAAAGCAGCCGAAGATCGACTCGACCGCTGTCCCGAGGATGAGTTTGTCAGCCCCAGGATTGTAGCTCGACTCTTACTGAGCTTAGTGCTAAGCTGGTGGCCTGCGATCAATAAAAGTTTACTTCATTTCTCAAAAAACATGAAAGCAGCACAAGACCGACTCGACCGCTGACCTCGAGAATGAGTTTGTCAGATCCAGGGTCGTAGCTCGTTTCGGGCTGAGCTTTAGGCTGAGCTGGTGGCCTGCGATCAATGAATGTTCACTTCATTCCTCAAAAAACATAAAAGCAGCACAAGATCAACTCGACCGCTGACCTCGAGGAAGAGTTTGTCAGCCCCAAGATCGCAGCTCGACTCTCGCTGAGCTTAGTGCCGAGCTGGTGGCCTGCGATCGATGAAAGTTCACTTCATTTTTCAAAAAACATGAAAGCAGCACAAGATCGACTCGACCGCTGACCTCGAGGAAGAGTTTGTCAGCCCTAGCGCCGTAGCTCGTTTCGCTCTGAGCTTAAAACTGAGCTGGTAGCCTGCGATCAATGAAATTTCACTTCATTCCTCAAAAAACATAAAAGCAGCACAAGATCGACTCGACCGCTGGCCTCGAGGATGAGTTTGTCAGCCCCAGGGCCGTAGCTCGTTTCGCGCTGAGCCCAAAACTGAGCTGGTGGCTTGCGATCGATGAAAGTTTTCACATTCCCTCAAAAAACATGAAAGCAGCCGAAGATCGACTCGACCGCTGTCCCGAGGATGAGTTTGTCAGCCCCAGGATCGTAGCTCGACTCTTACTGAGCTTGGTGCTAAGCTGGTGGCCTGCGATCGATAAAAGTTTACTTCTTTTCTCAAAAAACATGAAAGCAGCACAAGACCGACTCGACCGCTGACCTCGAGGATGAGTTTGTCAGCCCCAGGGCCGTAGCTCGTTTCGCGCTGAGCTTAAAACTGAGCTGGTGGCCTGCGATCAATGAAAGTTTTAACATTTTCTCGAAAAACATGAAAGCAGCCGAAGATCGACTCGACCTCTGGTCTCGAGGAAGAGTTTGTCAGCCCCAAGATCGCAGCTCGACTCTCGCTGAGCTCAAGGCTAAGCTGGTGGCCTGCGATCAATACAAGTTTACTTCATTTCTCAAAAAACATGAAAGCCGCACAAGTTCGACTCTACCGCTGACCTCGAGGATGAGTTTGTCAGCCCCAGGGCCGTAGCTCGTTTCGCGCTGAGCCCAAAACTGAGCTGGTGGCTTGCGATCAATGAAAGTTTTCACATTCCTTCGAAAAACATGAAAGCAGCCGAAGATCGACTCGACCGCTGGTCTCGAGGATGAGTTTGTCAGATCCAGAGTCGTAGCTCGTTTCGCGCTGAGCTTAGTGCTAAGCTGGTGGCCTGCGATCAATAAAAGTTTACTTCATTTCTCAAAAAACATGAAAGCAGCACAAGATCGACTCGACCGCTGACCTCGAGGATGAGTTTGTCAGATCCAGGGTCGTAGCTCGTTTCGGGCTGAGCTTAAGGCTGAGCTAGTAGCCTGCGATCAATGAATGTTCACTTCATTCCTCAAAAAACATAAAAGCAGCACAAGATCAACTCGACCGCTGACCTCGAGGAAGAGTTTGTCAGCCCCAAGATCGCAGCTCGACTCTCGCTGAGCTTAGTGCCGAGCTGGTGGCCTGCGATCGATGAAAGTTCACTTCATTTTTCAAAAAACATGAAAGCAGCACAAGATTGACTCGACCGCTGACCTCGAGGAAGAGTTTGTCAGCCCCAAGATCGCAGCTCGACTCTCGCTGAGCTTAAAACTGAGCTGGTGGCCTGCGATCAATGAAAGTTTTCACATTTCCTCGAAAAACATGAAAGCAGCCGAAGATCGACTCGACCTCTGGTCTCGAGGATGAGTTTGTCAGCCCCAGGATCGTAGCTCGACTCTTACTAAGCTTAGTGCTAAGCTGGTGGCCTGCGATCAATACAAGTTTACTTTATTTCTCAAAAAACACGAAAGCAGCACAAGATCGACGCGACCTCTGACCTCGAGGAAGAGTTCGTCAGCCCTAAGATCGCAGCTCGACTCTCGCTGAGCTTAGTGCTGAGCTGGTGGCCTGCGATTGATGAAAGTTTCCATCATTCCTCAAAAAACATAAAAGCAGCACAAGATCGACTCGACCGCTGGCCTCGAGGATGAGTTTGTCAGCCCCAAGATCGCAGCTCGACTCTCGCTGAGCTTAGTGCTGAGCTGGTGGCCTGCGATTGATGAAAGTTCCCATCAATCCTCAAAAAACATAAAAGCAGCACAAGATCGACTCGACCGCTGGCCTCGAGGATGAGTTTGTCAGCCCCAGGGCCGTAGCTCGTTTCGCGCTGAGCTTAAAACTGAGCTGGTGGCCTGCGATCAATGAAAGTTTTAACATTTCCTCGAAAAACATGAAAGCAGCCGAAGATCGACTCGACCTCTGGTCTCGAGGAAGAGTTTGTCAGCCCCAAGATCGCAGCTCAACTCTCGCTGAGCTCAAGGCTAAGCTGGTGGCCTGCGATCAATACAAGTTTACTTCATTTCTCAAAAAACATGAAAGCCGCACAAGTTCGACTATACCGCTGACCTCGAGGATGAGTTTGTCAGCCCCAGGGCCGTAGCTCGTTTCGCGCTGAGCCCAAAACTGAGCTGGTGGCTTGCGAACAATGAAAGTTTTCACATTCCCTCGAAAAACATGAAAGTAGCCGAAGATCGACTCGACCGCTGTCCCGAGGATGAGTTTGTCAGCCCCAGGATCGTAGCTCGACTCTTACTGAGCTTAGTGCTAAGCTGGTGGCCTGCGATCAATAAAAGTTTACTTCTTTTCTCAAAAAACATGAAAGCAGCACAAGATCGACTCGACCTCTGACCTCGAGGATGAGTTTGTCAGATCCAGGGTCGTAGCTCGTTTCGGGCTGAGCTTAAGGCTGAGCTGGTGGCCTGCGATCAATGAATGTTCACTTCATTCCTCAAAAAACATAAAAGCAGCACAAGATCAACTCGACCGCTGACCTCGAGGAAGAGTTTGTCAGCCCCAAGATCGCAGCTCGACTCTCGCTGAGCTTAGTGCCGAGCTGGTGGCCTGCGATCGATGAAAGTTCACTTCATTTTTCAAAAAACATGAAAGCAGCACAAGATTGACTCGACCGCTGACCTTGAGGATGAGTTTGTCAGCCCCAGGGTCGTAGTTCGTTTCGCGCTTAGCGTAAGGCTGAGCTGGTGGCCTGCGATCAATAAAAGTTTACTTCATTTCTCAAAAAACATGAAAGCAGCACAAGATTGACTCGACCGCTGACCTCGAGGATGAGTTTGTTTTGCATCGGTGTTTGCATCGGTTCAGATACATTCAAACATCATCCGCGAAATGTAATAAATTCACAGCTTCGTCAGTTGCCGTGGCTCATAATAATGAATCATTTAACTTAGTGTTACGTTGGTCGCCTGTCGAGTGTTTACTCAACTATTTGCTGTGGCCAGCGAAAACCAGCTTTTGCCTCGGTCAGAAACATTTATACCTTTTTTGCCAAATGATGAAAGGTCACAGTTTCGTCGCTCGTCCTTGCTTATGAAAATAAACAATTCAACTTAGCTTTGGCAGGCAAAAGTCAGCTGTTGCATTGGTCAGAAATGTCGATACCTCATTTGCCCAATGAAAATTCACAGTTTTGTAGCTTGCAGTTCCTCATTAAAATGATTCATTTTATTTAGCTTTCGCAAGTGAAAGCCAGGGACTGCATTGGTTAGAAATGTTTGTACGTCATCCGCCAAACGTAGGAAACTCACAGTTTTTTTGTTCGTGTTTGCATATAAAAATGAACAATTCAACTTACCTTTGGCAGGCGAAAGCCAGCGACTGCACTGATTTGGAGATGTTTCGATCGTCGCAAATATACTCCGTTGCCGTTCTCGACGCGTGAACAATTTTGAAAAAGCTACGTTGGTCGACACTAGTCGTGAGTATATTTTGACCATCGCAAATATACTCCGGATCAGTTCTCGACGCGTGAAAAATCATGCAAGAAGCTGTATGAATCAAAGCTAGTCGGGAATATATTTCTACCATCGTAAAGATATTCGAGAGATTTCGAGTTTTTCCCATCAGCCTATGGGGTGAACTTATGGTTTGATCTTCGCCAAGAGGTCAAATAACTCATAAGCAGCATTAACGCGAGAGCCTTGTTGGAAGTTACAGTGATGAAAACGAAAATTATTAAGTTATTTTCGCTTACGTATCCGAATTTCGCAGATTTCGAGTCTCGCCCATGAGCCCATGAAGCGAGTTTATGGTTTAATTATTTTCAGCCGTTTAAAATTAATGAATCGATATCTTTACCAACCACTTGTCGTAGATAACAATTGACTTGCTTTTTGCTACGGCGGGCCACCTAACCTTAGTTTTTTTTTTACTTTATTAATTAATTACAAAAAAACCATGATTACTGAAGTTTTTTTGAGACGACAGTAATTCTTAGAAAATTATTAGCTTTCCAATAAATATACTTTTATCTACTTTTACTGGGACCCATACTCCAATGATATTCTGCCGGGGTCCTTTACCTAACGCACAGTCTTACACAGGGCATAGCTTCAGGCAAACTTCTGCCACTTTGCTTGTTGATGCTGGTGCTGACTTAACAGTACTCAAAAGATATGGTGGTTGGAAGTCGAGTACCGTTGCTGAAGGCTACATAGCTGATTCTGTGTCCAATAAAAAAAAATACACCAACTTATTTCAAGTGGAATGAATTTGGCTTCATCTGTACAAGGACCAACAACAACAATAGCAGTTACATCTCAAACAACAATAACATCTACAGTAACAACATGTAAATTAAATAATTCAACAGCAACAGTAGCAACGTTAACAACAGCAACATCATCTAAACGTTTAAATGAGACAGCATCTAGTAGTCAATTTGTTAAGATTTCAAAATTTAAGCATAATTACAATACAACACTATATTCAGATCAAATTCATCAGCCAGCTACAAGCAAGTCTCAAAAAGAAATGTCAAATTCTGCTATCAATTTTGAATGTACTCCAAAGAGTATTACATCAAAAATGGAAAAACTGTCAATTGACAATGTCAATCAAAATATTTTTAACCCAGATGTAACCCTAAAAAATGACACCATTATTCATCACACACAGGCATCATCCACTGCAAATTCATCAAATTTGAATGAATTATCTGACAACAAAGGTGTGTTTTATGATCCGGATTTAAGATTATTTACTTATGTTTCAAGAAGAGATTCTTCATTAACGTTGAAAAATTGTAATGTTAAGATTGAAGGGACTACAGAAAAAACTTTAATTTTGCAAAAATGCAACATTCTAAAATAACTTATTTTCATTACATACAACTTATATTTGTAAGGTTATATCACTGTTTTTAGTTATATCACTTTATTTCAAGCCTGTACTTACATTCATACATGTAATTCTTAGCTTTGCGTTCATTGTTATTTAAATAAAACTCATGTTCTAACTATTTTGTTGCATAAAAATTATTTCATCATTATCCTAGTCATATGTCAAACTAAGCGTCGACTGCTGTGTATCACTTATGCACATGTTTAAATCTCTAGACTCGTGCAGAGAAGCGACACCTATGCCACGGAAAAGCGTGGTATAGGTGCGGATTTATGGCACGCAGTGCTATAAACATTATATCGTTTGTTTTAATAATAGGATTTGTGGATAAGAGTAGGTGCAGCTGGAAAAAAAAGATTTCTTCCCGTTCATGAGTTATCGAAAAAATGTGGTAATGAGATTTGCTCGGTTCTTCCTGCCGTTCATCACCTTTCTGGAGCTGATTTTACTAGCAAATTTGGAACGAAGTCGGCAGTTTTACGTGCTAATCCGGAGGAATATCTGATGACATTTGGTCACGGTAAAGATTACAATAATATCGCTATCTCTCTTACGAAAATTAACATAATAGTTATTTATGCACGAGTATTGACTACGCCAGCACTAGTGACTTCTTTTGCGCATTTTGTGCGGATAAAGCTGGGCACGCGTTGCATACAAAATTTTATGCAATAGAATGCGAAAAGTGCATAAATGACAAGCATGAAATTTTACCGCACACCAGTGTCCAAAAACGCTTTTTGCGCACTAAAAAATGGGCAAAAAGTCATTTTTCGTCATACTCTTGCATAAGTTATTTTTATTTTAAAAATTAGCTTCTAATTAGCACTTGATTATTATTTCTTTAAGGTCGAAAATTTTTCTTGACACCGATTTTAAAATGTGCTAGTTTTCGTAAAAGGCGCTAATAAAATAAAAATTATAGGACTTATTGATTAAAGTTTCATAATTTCTACTCTAGGTATTTCTTATAACGACATTGAAAGCTCGATTCAGTTGGCT